GAATGGATGTAATTCTTGTTACCGGCGAGTATGTGTCAAAATAGTCAAGACCTTCTCGCTGTCTAAATCCTTTGACAACAAGTCTTGCCTTGTATTTGTCAATAGTACCATCGTCTTTCATTTTCTTCTTGAAAATCCATTTAGAACCCAATGTTTTGTTACCTGGAGGAAGATCAACCAATTCCCAGGTATGGTTGCTCAATATGGATTCTATTTCACTATTGACAGCTTCTTTCCAATATTGTGCTTCTGAGGAAGACATTGCTTCCTTGAAGGTACGAGGCTCATTTTCTAGCAGGAAAGTCAGAAAATCTGGACCGAATGAAGTAGATGTCCGTTGACGTTTACTTCTTCTCGGATTTTCCTCATTAGGCATACCATCTGTTATTTCCTCCCGAGGTCGTTTTGACTTTTGGTAGGTCACTTCACTTTCCTTTTTATACGGATAAATAGTTTCAAAGAATTCAGCATTATCTGATTCTATTATCGTATTAACGTGAATCTCAGGATTTTCTGACTTATGAACCAGAAAACGATATGCCTTGCTATTGGTTACATATCCAATAAATACACAATCAACCGTTTTTGGACCTATCTTAACCCTTTTAGGTTTAGGAACTTGTACCTTAGCTAAACACCCCCACACTTTGAAGTATTTCAAGCTGGGCTTCCTTCCTTTCCATTTTTCATAAGGAATGGACTGTGTTTTACTATGAGGTACACGGTTGATTATTCGGTTAGCTGTAAGTATAGCTTCCCCCCACAAGTTCTGTGGTAAACCAGAACTTATCAACAACGCATTCATCATCTCTTTCAACGTTCGATTCTTTCTCTCCGCAATTCCATTAGATTGTGGAGAGTAAGGGGCAGTTGTTTGGTGAATAATGCCATTTTCCAAACATATTTCTTCAAAAGGAGATTCATATTCGCCACCCCTATCACTTCTTATCATTTTGATCTTTTTGTTTAGTTGTGTTTCAACTTCACTCTTGTATTGCTTGAAAGCATCAATTGCCTCATCTTTACTATTAAGTAAATAAACATAGCAATATCTCGTGCTATCGTCAATAAAAGTAATAAAATACTTTTTCCCACGCGAGATGGTTTTTGACTTCATGTCACAAATATCTGTGTGAATTAAGTCTAAAGGACTTGAATTCCTTTCAACGGACTTATAAGGATGCTTAGCATACTTTGATTCCACACATATTTTGACATTTTGGAATTAATCCAATCAAATGTTGGAAATACTTCTAAATTTATCATTTTTCGCAATGTTTTGAAGTTGACGTAACCTAAGCATGAATGCCATAAAGTGTTTGACTCAAGTAAGTAAGAAGAAGCATTAACTTTATTGATAGGAACTGCTATTACATTTAGCTTAAAAAGGCCCTCATTCAGGTAACCTTTTCCTACATACATATCATTCTTACTTAGTACAACACTATTAGAAACAAAAATACATTTGAATCCATTCTTGACAAGAAGTGAGGTAGACACAAGATTCTTGCGAATTTCTGGAACATGGAGAACTTGGTTTAGAGTCACTATTTTTCCCGACGTCATCTTCAACGCAATCTTGCCAACTCCTTCAATTTTGGCTGTAGACGAATTTCCCATGAAAATTGTCTCGTCGGGTCCTGCGGGGGCATAAGAAGAAAATAACTCCTTGTTAGCACAAACATGGCGGGTGGCTCCAGAATCTATCCACCATTCTTTAGGATTTCCTACCAAGTTGCATTCAGACAACATGGCACACAAGTCCTCCATTTCTTCAGCATTTTCAACCATGTTAGCTTGATTCTTCTTCTTCTTATCATTCTTTGGTGCACGATAATCCACAGCCTTATGCCCAGATTTTCCACAGTTGTGGCAATTACCCTTGAACTTTTTCTTGCTTGGGTAATTCTTTGGTCCAGAAGCTTTCTTTCTCTTCTTATTTTGTGGCGCCTCCTCAACAATGTTACCTTATTATTGTCGAACTTCCACGTGACTTCTTTTCAGCATTTTTGTTGTCTTCTTCTATCCTCAAATGAACAATCAAGTCTTCTAGTGTCATTTCCTTCCGCTTGTGTTTAATATAGTTCTTAAAGTCCTTCCACACCGGAGGTAACTTCTCAATGAAAGCAGCGACTTGAAAGGCCTCATTTATGACCATACCTTCAGCAAGGAGGTCATGCACAATGACTTGTAATTCTTGGACTTGAGTTATGACCGACCTTATGTCAATCATCTTGAAATCCAAAAACCTTGCAGCCACGAACTTCTTAAGTCCGGCATCCTCAGTCTTGTACTTTTTCTCAAGCGCATTCCATAACGCTTTTGAAGTTTCCATGACACTATAGACATTGTACAAGCTATCTTCCAAACAACTCAAAATGTAGTTTTTGTACAAGAAATCAGAATGCTTCCATGCTTCAGTTACAACATATCGTTCATCATTCGGAGTGTGTTCTGCCAGGACCGGAGGATCCTCCTTGATGAATCGTTGCAAACTCAACGTAGTAAGATAGAAGAGCATCTTCATTTGCCAGTGTTTGAAGTCGATACCGAAAAACTTTTCGGGTTTTTCTGCTGGTGCCATAGCATGAGCAGGAGTTGAACGGCTTGACGAGGCAGCAACATTCGTAACAGTAGCACCCGTTCCCGCAACATTTCTATTAGTTTGGTTTTCATTCGTCATTTTTTCTGTAAAGTTGGAAACAAAACAGAACTTTGTTAAATCAGTGAAGTTTTGATATCTCCAAACTGAATACCAAACCAAACATACAACACGTAACAATGGTGAAGTTTTTGTATACTTCAAACCCGTACGTTTATTATTCCGGTAAAGTTTTGATATACTTTAAACCGGATAGAACAATTATTGGAGTAGAAAGCACGAAGGCTTTAGTCTCCAAACCAGTATACAAAATATAAATAATAGTTTAATATATATTTCAACACAGAAACGTTAGTATTAAAATCCCTTAAGCTTGTGATCCGCTACTGTGTTAAAACACAAAATCAAAAAACTGTTAGAAGAATAAAAGAAACTGGAAAGCAGTAAAGAATAAGAAATATTTCGAGTCCACAATTTGCTTGTGCGTCCTTAAGGAATTTTAACCTCCTCACACGTTGCCAAGGTAATGGATTAAATCCTCCTAGGATGAAACAGAATAAACCTTCCTGCAACAGTGGCAATACAAACTACAGGATACCAACGAACTCAAAAAACGGAGCAAAATCACACTTACAAATTTGAGAGAGAGAGACTGCGAATTAGAATGCAGTATTTTCAGAAAGAAGGAAGTTTTGTAATTTTTTCAGTGTGTTAAAAACGAAGCCATGCCTCAGAATTTATATGCAATTATTGGAAGAGGTGTGATGTTTGTTCTGGAAAAGGTGTCTGTTCAGAAGTTTGCGCGTCCTGCCGCGGTCCTACCGCGGTTACGCCAGGACCGCGCCCAGAGTGGCCTTCTGAATCTGCAACAGTGTTCTGGCGCGGTCCTACCGCGGTCACGCCCGGACAACGGCTAACTAACTGACATTTAATTAATTATTAAGTAATTAATTAAATAAATTTTGTCCAAAAATAATTCCTTTTAAGAGCTTTAAGAAGTGATTATATATATATACACACAAATGTAGTTGTCTCTCACCAATGAGGGACAAAGTTCAAGACAAAAGCTCACTTCATTCAAATTTTCATTTCCCTCCATTTTATTTCCCACAATTTCCAATTCACACTCTTAGATTTTAAAGCCCAATGCTTAAAGTCTTTGAAGCCCCATGCTTTAAAGTCCAACAGTTACTTCACCCATCACTTTTCACTCTCACGATACTTAAATAGAGTACATAAAAAATTTGCACAACAATCGTCCCATATAGACGATATCTTTCATCTTCTTACTTTTTTTTCCGATCATTATTTTAATATCATCGGCCCTCAATCACTATAATACTACCTTGACTACAACACTAGTGTTGCAAATGATTTAGGACTTGAAATGTATGTATTTCGTCTTAATATTAGGAGATCGACGTGGAACTCTAAGTTGCTATTAGTGATTTTAGAAGGACTAGTGATGAAGTTGTCTAGATGAAGTTGCGACAAATATCAAAATACAATTTGATAGGTGTGATTGATCGTAGTATAAGTTGTATGGGCTAAAATTGATAAACGACAAGTGGATGCTCGATGAGTTGCTACGTGGAAATAAAGACAGAGTGTTGAATAAGTTCCAAAGAAATTGGAACCGAGAACGAAGATTTGAAAGGAAGACATCGGTTGACAAAGACAGTATTCCATGAGCAGCCGTTACAAGAAAATCCTGTATTAATGTTCAACCGTTATGCAGCCATCAAAAGGTGTTTTATTCATATTAAAGAAGAGTTTGATTTGGGAATCTTGTATCCCTGAATAGAGCTATAAATAGGAGATTATATGTTCATTGTAGGGCATGAAAATAATATGTACACTAAAGCCAAAATCTGCGCTTATTTTATAAAATTACTTTCTCTCTTTTTGTTCTTGACATTGCTCTCATTATTTCTATCGGAGAAGTTGAGCCCATGGTCAGGCTTGTATTTTCTTCAACTTATTTTAATTAATTAATTTTTGTTCTTAGTTATTTTATGTTCTGGACCAAATTAATTTACGTGTCTATAAACCACGCTATAAATTTAATTGTACTGTTTAATGGGTAAACATGAGTTTTATTTAGGTTTATTTGAGGCTTAAGGGTGACTAATTTTAGGTTACCGAAAGAAACCAGATTGTTGCAGGTTTTGAATGTAGATCATTTTGCATAATTCAAGAGCAAATTTATATCAAATCTGACCTAACTATTAATGAAATGTGAATTTGAATTATTTTGCAAAGTTTAATAACAAATTTGGTCATTTTCTCTTTAACCTTATTATTCAATTACGAATACACCCTATTTTAATTTTAAAGACAAACCAAATTGACCCCAAACTGGGACTTAAACCTGAATATATAAATTATCTTGGTGGGGGTTAGTATGATTCCAGTAAACTCTAGGGGAAAAACATAAACTCCAAAAATCTATTTGTAGTCCCTCAACACACAAATTGATTAGCCGTTTGTTAGCAACACGAAAGCAAGCGAAGCAAACACAGTGGTAGCGAGAAGAATGGGAAGCCAACAAGCAGCACAAATTCCGACCAGTTTTGGGCATGAACTGAGGGCTTGTCTCCGTTGCCGCCTTGTCAAAACCTACGACCAGGTTCCCTTTTTCTATTTCTTCAATACCCATCAATTTGCTTTTTGTCTTTCAACTTTTTATTCATCAATTAACTATCTATCAATCTTGGGAGCTATGTGAATCATTTGATGTATAATTATAGTTAGATTATTTTACCACCAATTTTGTTGTGGGATGGATAGATTATTTCACCCTTAATTAGATGTCTAGGGTTCGAGCTTTGAGAATGAAAAATTTACATTTAAGGGACATTACTGGATGAGAATCTGGATTGGTCGGGCTCCAATGCAGGTAGTGGACACCGGCTGTGAAACAAAAAAGATGTTTCTTATGTTTTTGTATCTGGGTTTGGAATAGGCTATGATTTTCCCTCATAAAGTTGGAGTATTTAACTTTTTTAAGGAAAAAAAAATGAATAAATTAGTTTTTTGGTGGATATACTTTTAGTGAGGTGCACCAAGGGTGTGGCCTGACCCTCAATGAAGTGAGGAGAACATGAGGTCTCGTGTTCAAATCGGCAAAAAACACTAGGTGATTTCTTCCCATCTACCTAAGTCTTGGGGGGCAGAGTTACCCGGTACCTGTGCTGGTGAGAGATAATAGGTACCTGGTGGAATAGTCGAGGTGCGTGCAAGATGGCCCGAGCACCACCGTCATAAAAAAAAAATGAAAAAGAAAACTTTAGTGGCGTTTATGTTTTTTGATGGGTGATTATTTGGTAAATTGCAGTTTAGGGAATCAGGATGTGAGAACTGTCCCTTTTTCAAGATGGATGAAGATTATGAACGTGTAGGGGACTGCACTACTTCTAATTTTACTGGGTATGGTGAATTTTTGGTTTCTTATTTATGAAAATTTATCCATTTCTTTTTTCTTTGTTATGTTTTATGGGCCTAGTTAGTTTTTTAGTTATTAACTTTGGAGCTACAATTTAACAGTTTGATCTCCGTCATGGATCCAACTAGGAGCTGGGCAGCCCGGTGGCTTCGAATTGGTATCTACAACCACTCTTACATTATGAGATTTGTTCACTTATTTGGTATATTTTGCATGCTTGAGATTGTGTATGTAAGTGCTTTATAATTGTTTTTTGGGTATAAGCAAGAGTGCTTCATAGTATTTAGTAGTGATATACTTTTTCCCTTCTTCACAAAATATGACATGAGCAGAAGTTGTTATCCTAGGTGGAAAAAGAGAGGTTCTCATGCCTACAAATTATAATTGTTTACTGCTATTTCATGATGCTAACAGTGATGGCCTGTTACTCTGCTGGTCTATTTTTACTTAGATCAATAGGTTCATCTCAGTTTGTTGCATTTTGTGTTTGTCAGAAAAAAATATTGGATCAGGGAAGTGCTTATTCAGATGTCTTCTTGCTCATAACCTCTTTCTATTTGGCCCATAAGTGAGTACATTGGGGCCTAATACCACCATAATGTTCCTTTGTTTCTTTCCAATTGATTTAGAGTTCATTGTTTAGTGACATATTTCCTAGTATATC